TATAGCTTTTAAATGGATTTAATCGTATTGTTCTTATTCTCATCCCCATAACCTTTTTCTCATAAAGAAAGGACAACTAGGAGTTTGGGATTTTGGTAAGGTGCATGAGAAGACTGTATATGGAAACATACATAGCTGCCTACTCAACAATATGAAGTAAGTTACTTTATACTTCATACCTGTTTTCTTTTGTCCCCATATTTCATTATTTGATTCTCTCTCTTAATAGTTAATTCATTCTTTCTGCATTAAACATGGTATAATTAATGTGCAGGTTTAGTCCAGCAAATGATGGAACAGTTTATGCAGCATCTTCAGATGGAACCATGAGTTGCACTGACTTGGAGACTGGTTTATCTACACCATTAATGGACCTCAACCCTAATGGATGGCAGGTATTTCTTTAATTTTTTTCTAATCATTTTGGTATCATGAATGTTTGAAAGTATAATCTGTTGTCTTGACTCTTGAATCTTGATTAATATTTGATGATCTACATAGGGACCCAACAGTTGGACAATGCTGTATGGAATGGACTTGAATGCAGAAAAAGGTCTCGTGCTAGTTGCAGATAATTTCGGATTCTTACACTTGTATGTTCATAGTGTTCATACTTTAACCCAATCTTTCTTCTTGAATCTTGATGATTGTACTAAATTTAGCTTACATTGATGCAATATATATATTTTTTAAATATAGGGTGGACACTCGATCAAATTCTCAAAAAGGAAATTCGATTCTGATCCATAAGAAAGGAACCAAAGTTGTGGGGCTTCACTGCAACCCTTTTCAGCCTGATCTTCTATTGAGTTGTGGAAATGATCACTTTGTAAACTTTCTTACCTTTTACCATTTTCTTATTATTATTATTATTATTTAATATATAAAAGTTTGTGTGTATTAGGCTCGTATATGGGATATTCGGCGTTTGGAAGGTGAATCTTGTCTTCAAAGTCTTCCACACAAACGTGTGGTCAACTCTGCTTATTTTTCTCCTATAAGTGGAAGCAAAATAGTGACAACATCAATAGATAATAGAATTCGTGTGTGGGATTCTATTTTTGGAAACATGGAAACACCAAGTCGTGAAATTGTACACAGTCATGATTTTAATCGACACTTGACTCCATTTCGAGCTGAGTGGGACCCAAAGGTGATATCAGATTATTTATTCATAGAAATAAGCAGAGTAATTTAAATTTTGGTTTTTTCTTTTTTTATGTAGGATCCATCAGAGTCACTTGTGGTTGTTGGGCGTTACATTAGTGAGAATTATAATGGATTGGCATTGCATCCTATTGATTTTATAGATATTAGCACTGGTCAACTAGTTGCTGAGGTCATGGACCCTAACATAACTACAATTACTCCAGTCAACAAATTGCATCCACGTGATGATGTGTTGGCATCTGGTAGTTCAAGGTCTGTTCTTTGGAATTTCTTCTTCATCTCTTTTTTGCTTTTTCAATGGTAAACAAATAAATGAAAAAGTGTTGCTGTTTCATGGTGTTTTAGGTCATTATTTATTTGGAGGCCTAAGGAGAAGTCAGAAATGGTGCAAGAGAAGGATGAGAGGAAAATTGTTGTTTGTGATAGAAAAAATAGCAAGTTTGGAGATGATGATGATGATGATTCAGGTGATGATTTCTCAAGTAAAAAAGGAAAGAATGGAAAGTCGAAATCTAAAAAACCCATTTTGGTAACAACTCCATGTAGCAGCAGCAAGAAGAAGAAGAAGAAAAAATCTTGAAAGATGTGGTTGTGTATGTGTAAATTTGATGGCTGATACTAGTGTTAACTAAAATAGTCTCCTTTTGGGTTTTGGCCTATGTTTTGAGCAAAAAAAAACTTTTGTCCTTTTAGGTTCTCATTGCATGCTAGCTAGCTTTGTGTTCTTGATTACTAATATACAAGAATACAGAATTTTGGTTATTATACAGAATAGGTGTAAGATAGTCTTCATTTGATACAAAGGTTTACATCTTTTGGACTTGATTTTGAAAAATACTTGTATTTTATTGATAAGTTGTTTTTAGTGTGTTAAACAGATTTTGTTTATATATGTAAATTGACTAAAAATGACATGTGTAAAAGAGTGAATTGGTACCTGTGTTGTTAGTCACGTAAAAAGAAAAACAAATCTACAAAACATGGTTTTTCTAGAGATATCCAAGTGATAAATGTTAAATTGGTTTCTACGCATACTAGAATATTTTCAATAAGTTATAAAACTTTCAAATAAGCTAGAAGGAAGCAACTTTCAGCTTAAAAAAACTGTTTATTATAAGTCGATAATCATTTTTATTATATTTTATTTCATCTAAACACTTTAAAATGTTTATTATATTAGAAAACAGATTCTATTACTATCCTACAACTAAAATTCTGAAAATGGAAAACTATTTTGTCACTAATTTCAAATACAAAAACTAGATCTGACGTGAGAGTGAGATAAACACAAAAATCCTATAATGGGCTTAAAATCTAAAATATCATGTTTCCAAAGCCTCATTTTTCAGCATAAATACTTTTCCCCTTTCAGCCCACCGATGACGTCACCAACTCACTCCAAAAATTAACTTGATGAACTCTCAAGTTTTGCGGATGACAGAAGAATCCCCAAATCATTAGCATTCGATTGGTCTGTGAACACATTAATTTGAAATAATATTAATATTAATTAGAAGCAAATAATTGAATAGAAGAGATGTTATAATGTTATATATATATAAAGCACCTACCATAGGGAACTTTTTGAACAAAAAAGCATGCTCCAATTACTACATACGCAAGCCCAAGCATCAGTCCTTTCAAGTAGTGCGAACTTCCATCCTGTATATACAAACACATTTTATGTATTCAACTAAAATTTTCTTTTATTTGTAAATACTACAAAACACGAAGGGGGTAAAATGTAAAACCTGCAAAGTTAAGACTGTAAGGACAATTGAGAAGGCAAGACAACCGGTTTCAACAACTCCAAAATCAAGACTCAATGGGATTCCAATTATCCAAGCAGCAATCACACACAAAGGAAGCTGCAAGGGTTACCACAATATGTAACATGAGATCTTCATCCATATGTGCATTCACGAGTTGTACTCTATGCTTAGGTTGTGTTACACTTATATCTTACCAAGAAGGTTGATATTTGAGATGCGGACCCCACAGCGACACCCAAAGATATGTCCTGTAGCATTCACAACATAGCATTTAAACTGCATGACAAAACATGTTGTACTGTATATATATTTTAACTGTATATATAACATTTAAACCACATGACAAAACATGTTGTACTGTATATATATTTTAACTGTAATTGAATACCAATTTGTTTTTGAGAGCAAATATAATTGAACCAGCATGTTCTGCTGCATTTCCCACAATTGGCAACAAGATTATGCTAATAAAGCTCATAGAAATTCCCCAAGTATCTGATGCAACCTAATCCACAAGGATTAATTAGATGTAGAGATAATGCATTACTCACTTGTACTGTACAAGATAACAATGCATACCTCAATGGTGTCCACAACATACTCAGACAGAATAGCTATGATCACTGTCATTGTGATTAACCACAAAAATGCGCTATAAAATCCTATCACTGCTCCTTCTTCTTCTCTCACCTCCTCATCACTACCTTCCTCCTACATAATTTCATTTGATTTTGGATGTCAAAATGTCAATATAACAATCAAATGATATGATGAAGATGAACCTGTTGTTGTTCAAAGAATTGGGTATGAGTTTTCAACTGAAAGAAGAGGCATGCAGCATATGCAAGAAGCAACACAATACTGCTTGCTCTAGACAACTCAAGAGCTGAAGCAGTAGCCAATTCAGCAGGCTCATTGCCAACATATCTAAACAGCAATGGTAGAATCTGGCAGATCAAACCCAACAATAACAATGAAGAATTTGGGTCCACTTGCTTCTGTTTGTTTATCATGAAAAGGTGAAATAAGTTCATGTTGTTGGTTATCAGTTTGAAGAATGAATGATGTTCTTACTCTGTTAAATCTTTGTTCTTTATTGAGATTGGCTATGCCTCCACAAAAGAGAGATGAGCCAAGAACAAGAAGGAGGTTTGAGATAATGGAACCCAAAAGAGAGTATTTAAGCACATGAATCTTCCGTTGATGAAGAGCAAACAATGCGATTATCAACTCTGTTGCATTACCACATGTTGCATTAAGGAGCCCTCCCACTGCAATTATAAGACAAAATTTCAATTTTCAATTAGAGATATGAGATATGAGAATGCCCTAATTCTTTGATTATTTGTTAATGAAATTCATCTTTCCTGCCATTAATTTGTTAATAACTGGTTATGATTGTACGATTCATCAAAATCCCTCTTTGGCTAGAAATAAATTGTAGAAACGGAAAACGATATGAAACCACAAATAGACAAAAGGTTGTAGGAAAATGGAGTAAATGACTGGAACTGATTGAGAAATATACCTGTAGGACCAGTGAAGTATGCAATTTGTCTTTCGAGTTTGTAGTGATTTGAAAAATAAGAACAGGTGTTAAAGCGTTTATACACCGGGTAATAATTTATTTGTTAATTTTATGGAGACTTACTCGGTGAGGAAGCTAACTCGTTCTGCAAGTGGAGTGAGTCCGATCAAACTCAGAGCAAAAACCCATGGCTACAGAAAACGTAAACCTATCAGTATCAGATTCGGATGAAGAAGATATCATACACTAAACATAAACAACTTACGCCGCCGACATCATAAAATTCCGCTACAAAAGCAAACGGAATCGCCGGAAGAAGCACAGAGAGCTTTGTTCCGAACATTACTTCCTGAACATTTGCTATCAACATTCTCAAAATCTGAAAACGAACATGAACATCCAGCGAAACATCGGAGGACGACGTCGACGTCGACGTCGTTGATTTCTCCGGTTTCACAACCTGAATAGTTCTCAGAATGTCTCCATTCTCCATATCATATGTCGCCAAAGAACCCATTAGAAGCAGTTTGTTAACAATCAGCTCCGCCTTCAAATGGTGGTGCTGCCGGCCGCGGCGATAACGAGAGGCTCACGGAAGTTTGGTAAGGAGGGCGAGACGTTATAGGCGCCGGATGCCACGTGCCACAATAAAAACTTTCCAAAAATTGATTGGAGTCAACCGAGGATATTCCATATTTCCATGCCTGCTTTGATACGAAAAATAATGATTAACTTTACGTATTGAATTAAGTTCGAACTTTGAAGTTCTAATATGATTTTTTTTTTTGTTCGAAATTGGCCAGAAATCAAGATCAAATTATATGAATTGAAACACAATTAATCCAACAAACTTTTTAGAAAATAACTAAAAACCAATTATATATATATATAATTTTCATTTTCAACTACAATATATATAGCCTAATATGTGTTCGACAAAAAGATATGATATAAAAGAAAGATAATAATGAATTTCAAAAATCTTGACAGTAAATCAATTTAGAGGTTCATGTTTAAGAAAACTATTATGAATATATCAAACAAAACGATGTATTATGGTGTGTGGATACCTAAGGTTATATACCCTTAAGGTATATTCACTTTTCCCATATATATATATATATATATATATATATATATATATATATATATATATATATATATATATATATATATATATATATTGGGAAAAGTGAATATACCCTTAAGGGTATATAAGCTTAGGTACCCAAATTCACCATACTACGTCGTTTTGTATTATATATATATACGTTGTAATTGTCTAATTTTCTTATAATTCAACTTCTAACTTGATTTTATTCAAAGATTTTTATAAATTTCACATTTATTTTCTTTTTACATAATTTTCATTTTCAACTATATATATATATATATATATATATATATATATATATATATATATATATATATATATATATATATATATAACCTAATTGATGTTCGTCAAAAATATGTGATGTAAGAGGAAGATAATAATGAAAATTTGAAAATATTGAAAGTAAATCAAGTTAACGATTGAAGTTGAAGAGCATTATAATAAATATATCAAACAAAATGACGTATTATGGTGAGTTTGGGTACCTAAGCTTATATACCCTTAAGGGTATATTCACTTTTCCCTATATATATATATATATATATATATATATATATATATATATATATATATATATAGAAAGTGAGAGAGAGAGAGAGTCAAGATCAAATAAGAAGGAAATTTTTGATAGAAAGCTAAAAAGTTTTTTTTCAACATATTTTTTTCGCGAACAAATAAAATGAATCATTAGATGATTCATTTGAAAGATGATTCACAAGAAAAAATTATTAAAAAAACATCTCGATGATTCATTTACATAATGATTTTGTTGTTATTCACTAAAATTGTCATAAAAGTTGATTTTTTTTAAATTTATTTAAAAATGAATCATATAGATGTTTTTTTGAGAATTTTTTCTTGTGAATCATCTTACAAATGAATCATTTAGTGATTTATTTTTTTTGTTCGTCAAAAAAATATGTAGAAAAAAAACATCTTACCTTCCTACCAAAAAAATTTTCTTACCGGATCTATATATATATATATATATATATATATATATATATATATATATATATATATATATATATATATATATATATATATATATATATATACACTAGTAGCATACCCGCGCAATGCGGCGGCGGCAATTTGTTTCATTCCGGCGATTAGTTTCCGAATGAAAGTTGGTGTCATTTCGGCAGTCGTCAAATCGTTTCATTTCAGTTTGTTTCATTCTGGCGATTTGTTCCTTTCGGCGATCAACTGTCTGTAGACGTGCATCAAATAGTAATTTCCGTCTATTACTCTTTATCTGACAGCGAACAGTGATTAGTTTCATTTAACGAATAATGTTTTCTTTTGATATGTTGTTAAAACTTTGTAGTTTAGCCTAAAAACGGAAAAAAAAATGTATTTTTTAGTTTAAATATATTACAATTTTAATTTGGTTACAAATAATAATATGTTGCTATTATAGGTTAACTATGAAAGTATATTGTTATTATAAATATGAAAGTATGTTGTTATAGGTTAAATATGAAAGTATGTTGTTGTAGGTTAAATGGATTGTAAAAATAATTAATTTGCTAAACCAAATCTAGTGAAAGTTTATACACCTCGCTTGGCTTCGATATTTAACACGGGATACATATATGATTCATTTCCCTTGCAGTGATTATGCGAGTCTAAATAGGGGTGTTCGTTTGGATGGATTGGTTTGATCCGATCCAATCAAATGAATCCAAACTGATTTCGGTTTTTAAAAGATGGATTTGAATAGTCAAACTAAATTCAAATCTAATCTGATCCAATTCAATTACAATTCAGTTGGATCGGTTTTTATAATTCGGTTTTCAAAACTGAAACATTTTAAAACGATATATAATTATAATATTATCTAACTTTACACAAGAAGCGAAAACAAATTATTTAGTTGTGATTTGAAATTTATAAACAATTACTAAGAAGATATATTATAGTTAAATATTTTATAGATAGAAAACTTTTGAGAGAAAATTCATATTAATATTTTTTTAACGGGTGAAACGTTTTGAACCTATTTGAAAAAATAAATTACAAAATTAATAAATAACTATAAACATATATATTATAAATAAATAAATAATAAACGTTTATTCGGTTTTTTTGGACTATTCGGTTCTTATTTTAGGTTTTTTTTGGACTATTCAGTTTTTTTGGACTATTCGGTTCTTATTTTAGGTTTTGTTGAAAACCAATCCAAAAACAATCCGAAATCCAAAATAATAATTCGGTTTTGTTGAAAACCAATCCAAAAATTCAAATATCCGAACCAAACAGTCCAATCCAAATTGTCCAATTGGACAATTCGGTTTTATCCAGATAGTGAACAACCCTAAATCTAAAAAGTAAGGCTTTAGGACCATCATTAAAAATGAGGTGAATTACGTATCCACTATAATAATTTAAAATATTAATTTTAATAGTAATAGTAATTAGTATTTTAATAATAATAACGATAATAATATTATAAAATCTTACGATTTATCTTGAAGAAGTAAATCACACGTAGAGTCGTGGCCTAAAAATCGGTCATCAATAACTTTACGGACAACATCTAAATTAACATTTTAGTAAAACAAATATAAGTTATTTAACAAAAAAAAGTTAAATATTGTTGTAATAACTATTCAAAATTTACCGATCATATTTCGTTGATATGGATTTCTCACAAGAAATTTGATAGACTCTACCAGTGAATAAGTCGGAAATTGATTTCTAATGACAAGTTGAAGTAGAGTAAATGTGTAGCTTGTTTGACAACTATGAAATTTTGATGATCAACAAAGTTGTATCCTTCATAATCCAGGAAGTCGTCAAGAGTACAAATAAGTTTAAAATGATTTACGGAATATAAACGGTCTTCCATACCTCTTTCTAAATATCTTCTTATTAAAGCTACGCACAACCGCCACCATTTTTTTCTCTCTAATTAATATAAATTTTGCTAAAAAATATTTTAAAAAAAAATTAGTGATCAAATTAGGCATATTATATATATATATATATATATATATATATATATATATATATATATATATATATATATATATATATATATATATATATATATATATATATATATATGGAATGTGGACAACTAATAGCATAATTAGTCTCTTTTCCCTCTATCCATCCAAACACATGGAAAAAATATATTCTTATTTTGAAATTTAGGAATAAGTTTACTTGAGTATCTAAGATTTTGACAATTATTTAAAGCTAAGAATGAAAAATGATTAAAGAGTTAAACTTTAAAATTTTGTAAACATGAAAAATCTATTTTTTTCTGTCAAATATCCTTTTTAAAAAAAGTTTTATCATTTTCAAGACATAGCCTGGTATTGCTGCACATACTCAAGATTCTACCGATAGCTATCATCATTTGTATTCTCTTTTGCTGGATAGTGATTATCGATAACTTTCCTTACACTTAACATCATCTTCATTTCTTGAATACAAATATTAACTCATAAATTATAGTTTAGATTGTGTTATTATAAAGTATAAACAATGTAAGAATTAAAAATGGTCAATTTTGTATAAAACGAATTTCTAACGTATGAACTTATATATATATATATATATATATATATATATATATATATATAACCAAGAAGAAAATTATGAACACAAAACAGATTAATTTTGCTTTAACATGTATTAAATTTTAACCAAGACGACATTAAGAACACACAACTATGTGGAGAATCTATTTTCCAAAATAACAAAAACATAAAATCTCTAAACAACTATAAGATCTAGTCAACTACTTTGAGATAGATATATAAAATCACAATGTCAGATTCGAATACAAACATACAAATCTGGTAAGAAACTCTAAAAACACTCAGATCTAAATAAAAAAAATCACTAATAGATGAGTGAACCATATGCTTCTCATCTGACAAACACATAAAAAACAGTAATACTAAAATTAAATATTGCTAAAAGTTTATGAATTATATATCAACTACAAAACATTAAATATCACTCTAGCATCATGGTTAAGGCTCTCGTTTGAAGAATTGGAGAGCAAACTCTGCATTTCCAAAAAACTACAAAATATGAAGGAATATCAAAAAACAAACTTCTCATATTTGATACACCCGATTCATATAAAAATCATGTTATACAGATCAGATATAAATTAGGAATATTTGTAGCTCACCTCCAATGCTCCTACATGACAAAAATTCGAAAACAACTCAAAAAAGTCATATGAAAGCATATCACAAATAGAGTTTATATCAGAAGTCAAAAAAGAACTCACAAAGGATAGATGCATCATTTTTCCTCTGAAATCATATTTTTCATCCAGGTTGCAAAACCACATACAGATCCAAAAAGTCTTTATGATACCATAATTGAAGCTACACAAATGAACAAACATACATAACTCAAAATATATACATAAGAAATAACAATGAAGAGAAAGAGACGTTGGAAAAACAAATATTGTTGATATATGATGTGTTTAGCTTGTTTTTTTTTTAACTTATATCTATATATTATAGCAATGTGTATGGAGTTGATATCTTTATCAGCATGGTATAACATGTTTTACCATCTCCCCAACAGAAAACGTGCATTCTTCAAGCGTCATGTTGTACCCACTTCAAACTTCTCTTTTAAAGATGGCCATAAACATATGTTTTCTACTTCGTGAGTGGTTTACCTGGGAGGGAGAGAGATATCTATTTGTCAACATGTGCATCGATCTGTATATTTAAAGGGACAAATAATGAAGCAACATACAATAACTTTTGAGTGAGAGCTGGAGGAACCTGTACAGGAGACAAAAGTTGAAGCATCAAAATGATTTCAACAAAATGGTACCTTGATAAAAAAATTGTGCGTCTTCCTCCCGTTTAAAGGCTTCCCTCATTTAAGAAAAAAAAACCTTGTTAAGAGAAAAGGAAACGACAGATGGTGGTGAATTACGTTACCTCCAAGCTAAATCGACAAAAAAAAAAATGAAACAAAAAGACGAAGAAAGGTTATCCAAAAATATACCTTTTGATTGGATCCGACTTTCCTCTCAAGCTTCTTAACAACTCCATGTTTTTGCGTATTTCGAACCCGTCTCTGAAAATATGAATGTGTTCGCCTCCTGTTTCTGCAAAAGATAGAGAGAGATAGATTGACAGAGATCTGTTACCACCAAAATAGTTAGGTAATCAAATACGTGTTAAGAGTTTGAAGAACACTAACCGTGAAAAGGGTCGTTCTGAGTAATTCCATTTGTAAATGATATAGTCTGGTCTCAAACCACTGGAGTAACAACGACAATAGGTCGAGATACCGACAACAACAAAAGGGGAAACACCGGTGGTGGGGTGAAACAACATCCATAACTGTGTTTGAAGAAAAATGGTGATGTCATCGTGTTGGGTTTTTCAGAGAGAAGCATGTTGAATTCAAATTTTGAATCCAGATTTGGGGAAGCTGTGTTGAAGATAAGAGCGGTGCTTTTAGGTTTGAGAAAGATAGAAAGAGGGAGGCGTGTAAACAAAATTTAGGTCAATGGCGTTATTCTATCCGTGTGAATTGTTTGAGAGAAGAACCTCAGCTTAAGAGGTTGTATATCGTGTCTTAATACTTGTACATAATAAATAAAGGATTTTGATTGGTTGTAAACTTTTCACAAGGATCACTAATAACATGATCTACACCGTCCAAAGAATATCCAAAGGTTCGTATTCCATTTCCTTGAGTTTAAGACAATTATCTTAATTTTTAGGGGTCCCACATTTATATACCCTTTATAATATGGTATATATATATATATATATATATATATATATATATATATATATATATATATATATAGGAATAAGTTCTATGGAAAACAAATAACTAGGGCAACATCTACTGGAACCAATAATCAAATGACACGTGTCCATTTCTTTCTTCACAAGTAATGTATTGTGGAAGTTATTGTGGAAGTGATGTGTTGTCATGTTTTCATTGGTTCAAATATGTGTTGCCATAATCATTCATTTTCCATATAACTCTCTATTTCCTTAGCCATTGATCTTCATGATTTCTGACGCTCACGATTCGTTCATTGGTTCCTTGTTAATTATGGTTCTTTATTGAACCTCACCATATATATATATATATATATATATATATATATATATATATATATATATATATATATATATATATATGGTGAGGTTCAATAAAGAACCATAATTAACAAGGAACCAATGAACGAATCGTGAGTGTCAGAAATCATAAAGATCAACGGCTAAGGAAATAGATATACACTTTTACATTTGATGCACACATACT